AAGCTGAGCACTGACCCTTGTGGCATCTGACACGAGCAGCACATATAGAAGGCCTGGATCACAGCACTGAGCCTGTTTGCCGTCATGGAGATCACATCCTCCCCGTCAACACAGACCTCTGCCTCCATGACAATCTGCTGTTCCAGCACAGAGAGCTTCGGCGCGGTGCTGTAGTTCTCTGGGTCTCGCTGCTTCCGCAGAAGGGAGGCTATCTCACTGCTAGAGGAGGAGGAGGAAGGATTCTCCCTGGTTCTTTCAAGCTCTGTAGAGATGAGCATCAGCCACTCGTCCAGTGAGTGCCAAAGCAGCTCCAGGGGCTACAGAGACACAGACATTAAGAAAGAACAATGTAGGAACAAAAATAATGTCATCTATCAGACTATGCAGAGATTATGCAGGAACATTTGCTCAGACTATAAATAGAGACATAAACCTCTGCTTGTCTGATTTTCTCTTTTAAGTGATGTAGAAAGCCACACCAAAGCACTGAGATCAGAAGGATAAAGGTTTGAAACTATAAAGTTCATAATGCATTTTAAGCTACATTCACACCGCAGGCCTTGGGGCTCAATTCGGATTTTTTTTGTGAAATCCGATTCTTTAACGTGGTCGTTCACATAGCTGAATCTATGCGACTTGTATGTGATCTCCTGTGTGAACTGCATTCACACAACTGAAGTGCCCTGCATCCGCAGTAGAGGTCGCAATGACGTCACAAGCGAGTGTGCTCTGTGTTTACGGAAGTAAACATGGACGATCGTGCTGGAGCACGTCTAGCAGTCCTTAGTTTCTTTCCCGACATTATCAATAAAAATCTTTTCAAGAAGGTTGAAAATAAAGACTGCTTTCTGCATCATCGTCCGCCACTGTTGTTGTTTTTCTTCCCGTTTCTGTGTATCAAGAAGCAGAATATTGAGTATTAATTGCGATCGGGTGGACGAATGCGACCTTGCCATTCAGACACAGGTAGCATCTAAAAAGATCAGATCCATATCGGTTTCAGGACCACATAGCCAAGTGGCCTGGGTCGCATGGGAACAAAAATCAGATCTGTTGTTCAGACTGTCCATGAAGAGATCAGATCCAGGTCGCATATGGGCGGAAAAATCGGATTCGGGCCACTTCAGGCTGCAGTGTGAACGTAGTCTTAGACTTCTGTCTCATGCCCTGTAAACTGTTCTTGTAGGGATGTGCTGGATTAGATCCTTACTGTTCGATTGGTTCTTGCTGTAAAGAAATAACTTTACACCAAAACAACAACCGAGACCTCTGCCCTGTTTGACTGCTGTCAGAATCTAAGCACCTGAGAAGGCCCTGGACAGCTCATTGAAGACCCTAGGATATCTAAGAATAAGAGCTAGAGCATATGCTAAGGTGCGCTATTGATAACTATTGCTATCTAATATGAGTGCAAAATAATTTATCATGTGATGATGATACTTATTAAAAATGCTCTGATTTATGAAGCTGTCCTGTTAGGACAGTTCCTATCTTCAGATATACAGTTATCATCTTCATTCTGCATGTAGCAAAGAATTGGGAATGGAATGAGAGCGGTGTCCTTCAGCTAAGAACAAACTTTAATACAGTAGTAGCCATTCAGAACTTCCCCACTTTTCTTGATGGACATTGGCTGATCACCTAAGATTCCTTTTCTAAACATCAATCTTTGTACTAAATTGTTCTGTCATGATTAGTGGACATTAAGATCTAAAGGGAAGCGTTGGATGGGATTTCGCTGGGAACTGCAGGGAAGTGGGCTGCCATCCGGCTGGCGTTTGACTGGGAACGGCCATTCTGATTGGCTGCTACTGTATGATGTAATGATGTGATGATGTGGCAGACTGGTTGTATAAAATGCTTCTTTAACAGTGAATCGTGGCAGCTTCTCGAGATGTGAGCCTGATTGGTAAGCAGCTGCCTTCTTTAACCCTAAGCACCTTCTCTGATCTGAGAAAGATTAGAATTTCTATCAAAATCTGTTGTCATGTCTCCTGGTTATTTAATATATATCTATTATGAAGTATTATTTAAATAGATTGTCCCCAGTGATCTCTTTTCAGGAAAAACAACCAGAGAGGAAACGTTTCAAGAGCTTCAGAGCTTTCCATTAACACCCTGAACCAAAGCAAAGAAAAGTTGGAAAAGTTAGTCACCCCATCATTCTCTGATCGGAAAAAAAGAAAAGTTTTTACAGAAACTTAGTGTTTAAAATGATTTTATTCTTATATTCTGATTGAGTAGCTAGAAAAGAAGAAAGGATAGTCTGGAACTGTGCAAAACTGACTCAGTTATTTTATGAAAGAAGAGAAATACTCCGTCTACCTGCTTTGTTATTCAAAAAATACACAAATATGAACAAATATAACAGCATATAAAATCTATAATCTTATGACAGTTTCTGGCTAACACTGTGACCACAGTCAACTACAGTAACTGTACGGGTTTTCTAAAGTATCCGTGAGTATCATGTTTGCTAAGTTAGTTTCACACAAGTCCAGTCCTGAAAAAAAACAGAAAGACGCCTCATCCTGATGAGCAGCAGCTCAAACTGGCCACAGCACAGCTCTGCAGGACCCAAGAGACTGAACATTCAGAGCCAGGCCTCACAAGATTCCAGGAAAGGTGTTACACCCATGCGTTGGTGTTTTTACAGACATCTTTAACATTTTACTGGGACGTACAGCACTCAGTTGCTGGTAAAACCCATCCATAACACCCTGTCAGCTGTTCCCTTTGCTCTACAAAGGATGATCCCTGCTTTGCAATCCACCTGCGGACATATAAAGTACACCTGGAATAAAATAACGATAAAGTACAGACGTTGTAAAACAAATACATCTAAAACCAGGGGCCGGCTGGCCATAGGAAGCTTTGCTGGGATATCCTGGATGGTGGCCATGTTGTTTTTATCCCCTAAACCTCAGCTGACTAGAACAGAATTGAGCTTCTAAAGGTTGCTTCACATTGGAGTAGCTCTACTAGCTTGACTCCGACATTATTTTTTGCAAGAACTTTAGTTTCTCCGTTTGTGGATTCTAATTTCTTTTTTTCTGATGTTTTTTGCTTCTGGTGTTAAATGCTTTGAGACCGAAAATTACTTAAACTGATAGTTTTTTCCTTTTCAGATACTTCGTAAGGCTGGTTTATGCTCAGAAACCAGGTCGTCTGCGTGTGTCGCAGTGAACTCAGATATGCCCCGCCCCCTCCACAGACACTCTGGGCAACTCTCCAAAATTGTAGATGACCGCAGACAGAACGCCTCTGATTGGTCAAATCAACATCCGCTCTACATTATGTGTATTTCCTGTTTGCTACCTTAATGGGTTGTTTTGTTTACATGACCGCCATTGTGGAAAATGACTCGTGAAGATGAACCAGCTAGAAGAGCGAGGTGCGTGAGAACGCCAGGACCCTTTTTCCACCTTGATCCCGGCTCTTTTTCTCATGCTGCTTTGCTTACGCACGGTTACGCATCTGGTATATTTACTGCTTCGCTCTGTGCTACACTGCTAACCTTCCAATAGTTTTTTCAGCTGCTGTACCAGAGAAAACAAAACTTTGGAATTGTTTTATGCAAATGTCAAGGAATTTTTGTGTAAGATCTCTTCTTCAGATCAAAACACTGCTTTTCTCAGTTGAGACTTTAAACGGGACAACTTGCATTTAAAAAGAAGTGTAAGAAGAGGGTCACAGGAAGCTGTACAAGAGAGAACTTTGATGCAATTACTGAGTGTGTGACTGACTACATACTGTTGTAAAAACCTTCTGTTGTAGGTTGTTGAC